ATTTCCCTTCTGCCTATTCTGTAGTCCTTCTACTGCTCTGCCTGCCTTGAATCTCTCTTTGCTAAAGCACAATGATAGTGGCTGCACCTTGAAAAGACTTTGCTTGTCTCAGCAGGTAGTTTGGACTTTATTCTCATACTACCAATTTTCTTTTCAGCCAAGTGACAACTATTTTTCCTTCAGGAACCAGTAGTTTACTCTCAACTCACAATCACATAATTTGGAATTCCATAAGTATTGGTGAGCATGCCATGGTTGATACCTAGCTCTCTTTCCTCTACTTAGAAATGGGATTGTGGTCATCTGTTTTCAAGTATAAAAGCCCCAAACCATACCTGTCTACTTCACTTGACTGATGGCTAATAATTTAAATAATACTTATGTTAGTGTAGAAAAACACAGGAGACCAAACTTTTAAAAACAGCATTTACTAAGAGGTATTTAGATTTACCCAATTTCAGGTGAAAACCTACTTTATGTCCAGCTGAGGTCTTTGTTTAAGTTTTTAAAAGAATAAAAAGAGGAAGGAAAGGATGGGTTTGCAAAGGCTGTGAACCAGTAATTCTATAGACTATAGATTATATTTCTCAGCCTTCACTGAATGCTATCCATTTTTGCATAGAGAAAGCATGTCTAGTTGGAAGCTGGTGCATATCAGTAAACAAAGTTAAAAGTTCAGTAAGATGGTGTTTGGGGCACATGGAGAAGTTGATTTGAAGAACTTTTAAAAATCACTTTTAGGCTTACAAATGAAACACAAAAGGGTTACAACACAATCTCTTTCTGGGTGATGGCTTTTCCCTTCTTAAGAATCTAGTCTTCATCATTATGCCTGGCACTTCTCATAAGTGCCATAAATACTAACAATACTTTTGAAATGTTTTGAACTGTTTTTCCTTTCACATTTTAAAGTATGACGTGCCAGAATGATACTAGAGCAAGTAGGGTACATACCTTATACGGAGGCCAGGATTGGATCCCTAGAACAATATAGCCATGCCAAGAATGATCCCTAAGAGGAGGAATAAGCCCTGATCATTACCTGATGTGCACCCCTCAAAAAAAAAAAAGACAAAGCGAAAGAAAAGCTTTAAAGAGCATTTAAGCAAAATCATCCCTTAAACTAGCACCACTTAAAAAAAAATAACTGGTGCTACTTATACTGCAACATTTCCCTCATGTTACACTTTTCTCATGTTAAACAAAAAATATTGCCAATCACATTTAATACAACGCTCTGGGCTTTGCTAGTATCTTGTCCCTGGGGTAATTTTTCCAACAAAACTACTAACAAGCAAACTTCAAGTAATATTCCCTCAGGGTACTTGGAATGATGAGCAAGCACTGTAAATTCAGCTTTTATCTTTTTGGTGACAGCTAAAGATGGAAGTTGGTAGTTCCTGTTCATCTCTTCCCCATTTTTGATGGGGTTGGATTTTTTTTTCATGTCAAGTTCTTACCAGTGCCTTGTATTTCTTTGATATGAATCCATTATCAGATAGATGTTGAGTAAACAATTTTTCCCATACTGTGATCTGTCTTTGTATCCTGATTATCATGACTTTTGAGGTATAGAAGCTTCTTAGTTCAATGCAGTCCCATTTGTTGATCTTTGCTTCCATTTGCATGGTCAGTAGCATTTCATCCTTGAAAATGCCTGTAGCTTCAATGTCATTAAGAGTTCTGCCTATATTTTCCTCTATGTATCCTGTGAATTCATGTCAGATATTGAGGAACTTAATCAATTTAGATTTGACTTTGGTGCACAGGAAGAGGTCTGAGTTTTTTTGGTGTTTGTATGTAGCTGACCAATTTTTTTCAACATCACTTGGTGAAGAGGCTTTCCTTGCCTCACTTCATATTTTTTGCTCCTTTATTGAAGAATACCTGATCATATACCTGAGGGTCTGCCTCAGGATATTCAAGTCTATTTCCTTGATCTGAGGGTCTGTCTTTATTCCAACATCATGCTGTTATAATTACTATGATTTTGTAGTACAGTATGAAGTTAGGGAAACTTCAAACTAATGTTTCAAGTTTTAAGTTTGAAACATCTGATGCCTGTCTTTTCCTTTCTCCAAGGATTGTTTTAGTTATTCATTGGGTTTTATTGTTCCACATGAATTCCAGGAGTAATTTATCAATTTCTTTGAAAAGTGACATAGGTATCTTTATAGGGGCTGCACTGAATCTACACAATGCTTTGGGGGAGTATTGCTATTTTAGTGATACTAATCCTCCCAATCCATGAGCAGGGAATAAGTTTCATTTTCCTTGTGTCCTTTTTTTATTTCCTAAAGTGTAGTGTTTTGTAGTTTCACTTCTTTAGTTAAACTCATTCTGAGGTGCCTGATTTCCTGAGGCACAACTGTGAATAGGATTGTTTTTGAAATATCTTTTTCTTCTCTTTCATTATTTGTATATAGGAATGCCATGGACTTTTTCATATTAATTTTGTAGCCTGTCACGTCACTATACAAATACATTGTTTCTAGATGCTTTTTTTGGTAGCGTCTTTAGGATTTTCTAAATATAATATCACGCCATCTGCAAATAATGAGAGCTTGACTTCTTCCTTTCCTACCTGGATGCCCACAATTCTTAACTGATATACTATTTTTTGCCTAATTGCTATGGTAAGTACTTCCAGTACTACATTGAATAGAAGTGGTGAGAGTGGGCATCCTTGTCTATGCCTGATCTTAGAAAAAAAATATAAATGAACAAAAAGCCCATGAAAAATCATCTAATCGCTAATCAGGGAAATGCAAATCTAAACAACAATGATATATCTTCTCATACCACAGAGGCTGGTATACACCAAAAAGAACAAGAACCAGTGCTGGCATGAATGCAGGAAAAAAGGGACTTCCATTCATTGATGGTGGGAATGCTGATTGGTCCAGTCTAGTTGGAAAACAACATGACATTCCTTAAAAAACTACAAATTAAGCTTCCATTCAACCCAGCAATACTAGTGTTGAATACTATTTGACACTAGGGGTCAAAAAACACAACACAGAGAAGGCATCTGCACTCATATTTATTGTAGAGCTATTCATAATTGCCAGACTCTGAAACAACCCAAGCACCTGAGAACACATGACTGGATAAAGAAACTACAGTATATCTACACTATGCAGCCATTAGAAAAATGAAGTCACAAAATTTGCTTATACATAGATGGATATAGAGAATCTCATACTGAGTGAATGGGTCAATGAGAGAGGGGCAGACATAGAAAGATCTCACTCATTCATTTCAAGATATTAAAAAAAAACTCCAATATAGTATTAGAATAATACAGTATTAGAATAGTATAGTATAGTATTAGAATAATATTGAAAGACAGTAGAAATGAGGTCTAGGTAGACAGGGCCATGGCACAAATCTTGTCACAAGTGGTGGGGCAGTGCAGTTAGGACAAAGAAGGGACCAATATGATAATGATCACTCTAGATAAGAACTGAGTGCTGCCATAGAGGCAGGCTGGGGTGTGAGAGGGAAAGTGGGAACACTGGTACTGGGAATGTACAATGGTGAAGGAATGGGTGCTGGAACATTGTATGACTGAAACCCAATCAGGAAGAACTGTGTAACTGTGGTTCTCATGATGATTCATGAGATAAATAAAAAAAGGAAAAATGGAACCTAGTTATCTTTTACCAAAGCAACCCAATTGACGTTTCACTGACACCTTAGAGACAAGATTAGGTCATTTCTTCAACAACAGATAAACATGATGAAGAACATCAATAGTGTTCACCAGATTATTCCTGTGGATAAACTAACTCCTGCAGTGATTTTTATACCCACAGGGCAATTTATATCAGCTAGACAGAGAGCAATGCAAATATCCTACAAAACTCAGCAACGCTAAGGCTTCTAAAGAGCTCTAGTAAACTCCTCTCCGAACTGAAAATTATTTGAAAACTAAGGAAATAGTGGCATTGTATTAACATACTAACATATGTTAATACTTTAAATTAATACTTTAAATTCTGAAATAACAATTTTTACTTTGCCAAACCTACTTAGAAAATTACAAATTACTGATACTCAAGAAAAGTTATTACAGCTCAACTTAATGTTTTGTTCAATATAGAATATACATTCATGCAAGACTTAGGAAGGTTTAAAACTTGCTAATAAAATTATTTATAGAGGAATATATCATTGTTTACAGCACTGAACAGATACACGCAGTCTAATGCAGTCATGATCTTCATGGAATCACCACCTACTGCTTCTCATTTAAAAATCAATTCACTTTTTTTCACTTGTGCTGCAGTAATTTTAACAGAATTCGCAAATGCATGTTGACACAAAGCTTCAATATTATGGCTATAGGTTTTATTTTCCTTTATTTCCCTACACTTTTTTTTTCTTTCGGTGTCAGGATGGAACCCTGGGTAACACATGAAAGACGAGTGTCCTACCATTTCTTGCACGTTCTTTCAAGCAAGTCTGAATTTACCACGTAACTGACAATTGCAAAATCAGAAAGCAATACGGTGCCCTGTGGCGGATCCAGCGCTGCCTTCTGGGCCAGGGGTGCTCCGAGACCGCCGTTTGCCGAGAGAATCTCGGAGGGTTTGGTTTCCTTCGCTCCTTAGGAAGGGGCCCGGGGAAGGCCTCGGGAAGTCCTTGCAGTTCTGGCTCCTTGAACCCCCTTCCCACGCTCCCCGGGGCTGCCCCGCCGGACCCCGAAGGGCAGACAGTCCCCGCCCAGGTTACAGGACAGGGAACGGTGTCCCCGGGTGCCGGACCTACTGGACCGAACCCCCGCCGAGATCCCGGGCAGGGCCCCGCGGAACACGGCGCGCTGGCCCTGCTGGACCCGGAAGGACAGTCCCTCTGGGCGTGGCCCGGGGCCGGCCGGGCTACAGGACCGGGTCCCGGTTCCCGGGCATTGGCCCTGCTGGACCCGGAAGGACAGTCCCTCTGGGCGTGGCTCGGGGACGGCCGGGCTACAGGGCAGGATCCCGGTCCCGGCGGCAGGCCCCGCCGGACCGGAAGGCGAGTCCCGGCCGGTCCCGCGGAACCCCGGGCGCGCGGCGTTTCCCGTCCGCCGCCGCCGGCTCCGCCGCGCTTCCGCTTCCGCTTCCGGCCATGCGGTTCCGAGCCAGGATCGGGGATGCGGCGTGTCTGAGCCATTTCACGCGTGAGCGGGCGGGGCCGGGCGGGCAGCGGGGAGGGGACGCCTCAGGCCTGTTGGGTCCGGCAGCACCCAGGGCCTCCGCGGCTCCGCTGCCAGCCGGAGCGTTGCCCGGACTCCGGGCCGCGGACACTCACCTAAGGGCCAGTGTCCATGGGGCGCCCCTGACCGCAGCCCACCCGCGCTCCTGCGCCCTTGGACACTCACCTAAGGGCCAGTGTCCATCGGGCGCCCCCGGCCGCAGCCCATCTGTGTCCCCGCCTTGATCCAGGCCAGGGCCGTGGCCAGTCACTAATGAGCCGTTGGCCATGGGGCGCCCCTGGCTGCAGCCCACCCGCGCACCTGCGCCTCCAGACACTCACCTAAGGGCTAGTGTTCATCCGGGCCCACCAGTGTCACCACCGATACCCCGACCCCTGGTCGCAGAAACTCACTGGAGGGTTGATGTCCATGGGGCGCATCTGGCTGCAGCCCACCTGTGCTCCCCCGGACCTCAGACACTCCTGGCCCCAACCCACCCGTGTCCCTGGCAGCACCCTGGCCCTGGGCCTTGAACACTCACCTAAGGGCCAGTGCCAGTGGGGTGCCCCTTGCCACAGTTCACCTGTGCTCCAGCAGTGCCTCGAGCCCCAGGCTTCGGACACTCACTTAAGGGCCAGTGTTCATTGGGGGCCCCTGGCTGCAGCCCACCCATGCTCCTGGGCCCTCAGATACTCACCTAAGGGCCAGTGGACATCATGCACCCCTGACCATAGCCCACCTGTGCTCTTTGGCCCTTGGACATTCATGTAAGGGCCAGTGTCCATGGGGGACCCCTGACTGCAGCCCACCTGCATTCCAGCAGTGCCCCCAGCCCTGGGCCTCAGGCACTCACCTACGGGCCAGTGTCCATAGGGAGCCCCTGGCTGCAACCCACCTGTGTCCCCGGCACCACCCCCAGCCCCAGACCTCGGACACACACCTAAGGGCCAGTGTCCGTGGGAAGGGCCAGGAGACTGAGTTCAGGCGCTTAGCAGTGGAGGGTTAGTGTTGATACTCCAGGTCTTGCTTATCCTCTCTGATAGTTGCCCCAGGTTGAAGTGGAAGTTCTGTGAGCTAGGGCGGCTTCTGGGTTGCTAGCCGAGCTGCCTCAGCTCCTTAGTAGTGTATTCAATCTTCTGCTGTAGGGGTCAGTAACATGATCGCCAAGCTGGCCAAGACCTGCACGCTTCGCATCAGCCCTGAGAAGCTGAACTTCATCATCTGGGATCAGGTGGCCAGCGGGGGAGTGAGCATGTGGTGTGAACTGCAGCAGGTGAGCTGCTGCATCTGAGAGGTCTGAGAACTCCCCAGATACCATTGAAAAGGACACATCTGACACCCTCCCCCCCACCCCTTCTCTTGACAGGAGAACTTCTTCAGCGAATTTCAGATGGAAGGTGTCTCAGCAGAAAATAATGAAATTTATTTAGAACTGACATCAGAAAACTTATCTCGAGCCTTGAAAACTGCTCAGAACGCTAGAGGCTTGAAAATAAAACTGACCAATAAACACTTCCCCTGCCTTACGGTCTCTATAGAATTGGTAAGTAGGAAGCGACCGGATCTTAAATTTCTCAGAAAGGATCACTGTAGCACTCTCCTCCTGTTGTTCATTGATTTGCTTGAGCGGGCCCAGTAACGTCTCCATTGTGAGACTTGTTACTGTGTTTGGCATATTGAATATGTCAAGCACAGCGGGTAGGGCTCTTGCCTTGCACGCAGCCGACCCAGGCCAACCCGGTTCGATTTTTCCACCCCTCTCAGAGAGCCTCCACTGCAAAGCCTGGCAAGCTAACCGTGATGTATTCGATATGTCTCACAATGGAGACATTACTGGTCGAGCTCAGAAAGGATAGAACACGTGAATCCAGGCAGTTGAACACTATGCGGAAAACTCATTGGTTTTATTGAAATAAAAAACTTGTACATGGGCAATTTGTTTTCCACTGGAGTTCATTACTCTTATTTGAGTAGCACTGTGGTCAGTATTAGGCCACTTTATTGTCCCTCTTCTCTATGCAGTCTTTTTATATCCATTTCTTTTAATAGTATTGCTGCCTTGTTGTGAAATCATGATTTTTTTACACATTTCCACTTTTAAAAAGTTCTCCCCTCCTCATCTGCTGTGGTACCTTAAATGAACTCTCTCTCTAATAATGCATTTATCTTCTGTGCTACTACGAGATGAATTTAATGCACAGCTCTCCTCAGACCACACAGACAACCCCACTCCCTCAAACAAACAACCCCCTCCCACACACACACACACACACACACACTCACATACATGCTCATAGAATGAAGTTCAGATTTCTTTTTTAGTAAGCAGCCAGTTATATTTCCCCTTGTGAAGTTTAAGTTTCTTAACATAGTTCAAAGCCCTTAGGTTGTGGCCAAACCTATCTTGGAGCCAGACTCCAGACTGTCCTTCTCTGGGTGGTTTCCTGTCTATTCCATTTACTCCCAACTCCCAGACTAGGCTGACACTGGGACTTTCACTGGATCTCTTTTACGTACTTCTTTGGAACCTTGTCTTCCTTGGGTGTTTGGCTCCTGCTCTCTTCCGTGATAGCCCCCCTTTGCCCTGGCAGCTCTTATTTATGTGTGTTGTGTACTTTATGCTACTGTGTGGACACTTATATCACTATGGAACAGGATTCCTCAGTTTCTTAATATTTTTTGAACTCTTTGTAGTGCTTTCATAAAATTTTTTGAAACTCTTTGTAGTGCAGTTCTTGTTTCTAGTCAGTATTGCATATTACAATATGAAGTCAATGGTAAGTCTTCAGTTGCCAAAGAAAAGCAAGATACTTGCATAATACTTTCCTATCCTGAAATCTGATTATCTGTTGTATCTTTTTAAAAGCCTCTGGAAACCAGCACGGAGTTATCTTTTCAGCAGTGTAGATTTAACAGTACTTTGGGTGTCTTATACACATATTGGGCCCTTGGAGTAAGTGCTTCTGCAAACTGGTTTTCCCTGTGCTGTTACCAACCCCTGCTAGAATACTGTCCTCTTGTCCCCATCTGCCCATGGCTGTTTCTGAAGCATCACCAGAGAGGCCTTTCTTGACATCCTGTCTAGCAACTATCCTACATGCTTATCCACTTGCTTCATTTTATGTCCCATCTAAGACTGTAATGTGTACATTACATGTAGCTCACACAATTTTGTTTCCTTGATTATTGACCTGTTTGTTTTCAGTAGAACGTTAAAAACCTAGTCTTATTTGCTGTACTTTCCTAAGTACAGCAAATACTTTCCTAAGATCCTAACATGACCCAGAACTAAAGGGACATACAATAAATACTTGCTGGATAGATTTGGTGGTGAGGTTAGGGCTTCCAAGCAGTACTGAGGGTCCTGAGACTACCCTCGGCTTTACTCTACCAACCAGGCTGTATCTTGGGCCGATGATGTGGTTCAGCCTGGTGGTGATCAGGGGAACACTTGGCATTGCGTGGAGTTTGATGGGTAAACTGAGAATATTCAACTTAGATTTCTTTGCAGCTTTATTTTGTTGGTTTTTTTTTTTAGCTATTTTTATAAACAATTATAAAAATGTCTCTAAATTCTTCTCTTGACAGATATCGGCATTAAATAGTAGTCGCATTGTGACACATGACATTCCCATAAAGGTTATTCCTAGAAAATTGTGGAGGGATTTACAAGAACCTACAATCCCAGCCTCTGATGTAAGTAATGCTTGGGTCCCTTTGCACATGACAGTGACATTATTTGAATTACTGGATTTTAGTCATGCAGTATGTGTTATTTTTATTTTTATAGGATTTTTTAAATTGAGTCACTGAGATACAGTTACAAAGTTGTTCATGATAGTTTCAGTTATATAATGTTCCAACATCCACCCCCTTCATCTGTGCACCTTTCCCTCACATTTCACCCTGCCCCATCTCCACTGCCTGCCTCTATGGCAGGCACTTCTTTCTCTCTTTCTCTTTTATTTTCCTTTTCAGCACTGTGATTTGCAGTACTGTTACTGAAAGGATATCATGCATATCAGCAGTTCTTTCAGCACTCAATTTCTGTCCAGATTGATCATTTCCACCTATCATTGTCATAGTGGTCCATTCTCTGTCCTAACTGTGCTCCCCCACCCCTTTTGTGCAGGCTCTCTACTTTACTTTTGGATTTGGAGCCACATCATCTGATGGGGCTCATTAACTACTACTGACTCTGCTCAGGCATCGTGGCAGTGCTTGAGGGACATAGTGATGCCAGAAGCAAGCCAAGGCCTCCCATGTACAAAGCATTTGCTCAGCCTCTTGAGCAATTGCTCTTGCTCCTTGTAGTTGATTTCATTTGGAAAGTGTATAGTAGATTTTATTTGCAAGATGTATACACAGGAAGTGATACTCAATTTTAAAGGATACCAAAAGAAAGAAATAGGAATTTTGCTTTCTGTTGTTTACATAAAACTTCTTAAAACAGTGTAGTTTGTAGTAGAAATTATATACTCTTACAGTAGAAGAGAAGTCTTTTGCTCAGGAATAGCACTTAGAAACAAAGGGGCCAGAGAGGTAGTATAGAGGTTGATGCACTAAGGCCAGTTTTGCTTCAATACCAGGCATTGCCTATGTTTTTTGAGCATTGCCAGGCGTGATTCTTGAGCATAGATCCAGGAATAAGCCCATAGCTGGGTATCACCCAAGGAAAAAAGAAAACAAAAAGTTACATTTTGGAAACCTGTCTTCTCTCCTGTGAGTGTTACCTTCTTCAGTCTAGGTTTGTGTTCCACAGAACTTGATCTGTTCTTCTGTAATTAGAATTGCCCAGTTTTGTGTATCTCAATCCTGATGATGGAAATTTTTGCTCCTCCAAAAATAAACTTAATACAATGACTGCCTTGTCTCTTAATCATAATTCATTAAAGAAGGTATTTTGGAAATATCCAGGATGCTTCCAAAATATCCATGATATTTTTCTTTTACCAAAGGAGAAATATAGAGATCTTGGACTACTTGAGGAAAACCATACTGCACCCAGGTTTAACAGTCAGAGTGCTAGTACAGTTATTTCAGTTATTTTTGCAGAGTAGAAGGCCCAACCTTGGTGTCTTTTCCTCTGAGAATTGTTTCCTGTAGTTCTTGAGGCCTGGAACAAGAAGAGAGTCCGTAGGGACTTGGTCCCTGAGGTAACCAGCGCAGGCATAGATTAGTTAAATTATATGGTCATTTTTCTCTTTGTATTTAAAAGGAAGTTTGTTCAGATGATTTTTAAAAAATAGGATTCTAGCTCTTAAGAATACAGGTATTCAGAAATAGATGGTGGCTACTTGTCATTAGCTACATTAATATTTTTAACACTTCTGATTTTTCTCATTGATTTTATAGGTTAGCATTTATTTACCAGTCCTGAAGATTATGAAGAGTGTTGTGGAAAAAATGAAAAACATTAGCAATCACCTTGTAAGTTACTAGCAAATAACTCTGCTGTGTTTGGTTTAGACTGTTTGGAGGAGCCAGACCCTCACTCTCCCTCACCAGGTCCAGGACGGGAAAGAATACCCTCATGGAGGCCTGTTGTGGGCACTGGACTTCCTGTTAAGAGTGTACAGCTTTACAAGGCCCTTTCAATCTGAGCTGCTCTTTCCTATGCAGACTAAATGTCTTTGCTGATATACCTGCTGAGCTGCCAGCTTCTTGGAAAGAGAAACTGACTTAACATCTTTTAGCCCCAGCCACCTCTTAGCAACTAAATCTTTGGAGTTGCAAAAGTTTCCTAAACTGAGAAAAAAATTATGGACCATTTTATCCATAAATTTTGTACTTAAGATCATTTCATGGTTTAATCTGCACAGATTTTGCTTTCACTTAAGTTGGCTTTTAATGAAGATCTGCCAGTAGTTTGTTCTTCTGTGGCCACCTGCTGTTGATCTGCTTGTCAGGCCAGCAGCTTCCTTGGGGAATCTCCAGATAACCCCCCAGAGAGGTTCAGACTAACCCAGGAGAGAAAAGGAGGCAATTATCTTAGGGACCCATTGTTTGTTCTTCTCTCCAATGGAAATGAGTCAGCAAAATACCTGAGACAGATAAAACCATCAGAGCTGTTTTCCTTTGCTTGGTAGTATTGGGGGAAAAAAAGTTTATGGAGTAGCTGCTGTACTGCTGAATCTCCTGCCAGCCCCATATGATACCAGATACCAAGTGGGACTTACCAAGTATACAGAAAGAGTAATCATGGCAAGATCCAGTGTGATCAGACATTTATATCTGATTATATGCGTACAACCTACCCCTATTCCAGACAGAAATAAGGAGTTTGGTTCTATTCTTGTTATTGATGCTGAGCCATTCTTGTTGAGGCTTTTAGTCCTTCCATTATTTTCTACTGAGTATGAGACCCACACAAATAAGGTTGGAGATATGGAAGAGGAGAAGGTTGCACATGTAATTCATGTGGAAACTGAACATGACTGCAAATTATCAACAGACTGCGTTGTGTTTTAAGGAATTATTTCATAGACTCAGGTGGGAGGGTCTTGAATAGCTTGTTAAAATGTATGTTCTGATTCATGAGGTTGGTGTGAATTCTGAAACTGCATGCAGGAATGCTGATACATGAATCTTTGAACATACAGAATGTTTTGTGATTACTTGTATTGTTTTATTCTTAAAATGCTCTTTGACAAACATGGTTCAGAGTTTGATTAGGTCCATTTATTGACCGAACAAGGGAATCGGTGTTGATGTGGTGGTCTAGTGAGTCCTCAGAGTCCTGCAGCCTCGTGCCATGGGGGTCTTGGTGCTTAGCATATGGTGCATGTGGGATTTTGTGCCAAGTGGGGTTGATAGAAAAGTTCCGTAGGAACTTGTTTATTTTTTGTATGTTGAGAGATAATTTATAGTTAGGGATCTTTATAATATAATGACTAGTATTCATAAACATTGGTAACAGCACAGGAAAATCATTGAAAGAAATATGATCTTATCAAAATTCTTAAGAAACTTTGTTAGTGTGCAGGATATTCTGAATATTCATTACAGAACTAACCCACCTAACTGATACACAGTGACTTAGTCATTTGTTAGGTCTCTGGGTGGTTAGCACTCTCATGGGACCATGTCTGCTGCCAGATGTGGTCAAAAGAGATGTAAACCTAGCATTTGATTACTCACAGTTTAGGAATTTGAAGAAAGTGATTAAGCCCGAAGTACTGAGTAGAGTCTGTTGTAGGCTGCTTCCTTGAATTAATCTTTATATATGAAGTCCATTGTTTTTAAAAAGAGTTAGAATATACAGTTCTTGGATGCATTTGAAATCAATGGGTATATGTCATGTGTGAGCTTTGCAGAATTTTGGAAGAGTTCGGACTATTTCCAAAGATTGTTGCTATGTTTTGTTTTAATATCATTTCTGGATTATGTGAGAGTGTTCTAAGAAATATAATAATATTCTTCTGGGTTGTTATTAGGTGACAACTGATTATGGCTTAAACAAAGTACAAACTGCCATATGAGTTTTCCAATACCTGGCAAGCTTAGAAAAGGAGCAGATAATAACATCAAAAGAAATGTACTGCGCTGATTAACAGAATCTTATATTCTACTTTCACACATGTACCTTTCTATGAACTTCTCTTTGGTTTTTTAAGTTTAATTATTTTGTTTTGAACCATATCTGGCAGAACCCAGTCACTTCCTCTGGCATGGTATTCAGTGCGGTGCTGGAAACTCCTCCCACCCCAGGGTTTCATACATATAAAGTTTGAGCTCATGTTTTTCTAGCCAGGAACCTCATTTCTAAACTCTGGTTAAAGGAACCTCTTGGTGATAGAGGGTGGAGCTTGGAAGGAAGGGGCCCCCTGGTCTTCGGAGAAGACACAGGCCCCAGAAGTTTGAGGTGGAAATTGGCAGAGATACTGCCACTCTGTCTGGGTGCTTCGTGCAGATAGCACTCCAGCAAAGTCTGCAACTTGTCAGTTGGCCTCTCCAGGCCTCTGGAATTCGCAAAACTCTCATCCCAACTTCATAATGTAAGCAAAGGGTTTTGGTCTTGTGAAGTGCTAAAGACTTTATGGTTAGTATTAAATTTGTTGTTATGATAAATGAGTGGGCTTATTTATAAAAATAATATGCATATTTATTTGCAGTTAATATGCATATTTAATTTCCATGCTCTCTTTCCATTCTTGTCCCATTATCTTCACATTTTGCTTACATTGCCTTTGCATAAAATAATTGTTCATTTTTCTGTCCCCATAACTCCAAGGCCTAGTTTTGGCGCTCTAAGTAAAAATTCTCACACCTACTATAGTTAAGGGAAGCAGGCACTGGTAGAATGCTTGTTTTTGGAACATTGTATGCATGAAACCCTGTCATTAGTAGCATTGTCAATCGTGGCACTTACAGTAAAGTTACAATTCTCAAATCTATCATTCACAACTCATCTCCTTCCAGATAACTCAGGAACTGCAAATAACTTAGTAGTATCTCATTTGTTTTCGTGTGTTGTATTGATAATACTCAGTTTGATTCGTGCTTTCTTTTCTTGCTCCCCCTTACAAGAATGGGGTAGAAATGCCTCTGTCTCGGAATGATTTCTTTGGAGCCTCCTTATTTAAGAATAACTTAGATTTATTGATGGAAGAGAGAAGCTTTGATAAGTACCTTGCATTTTTTTCCTTTAATTTTTGAAGTCCAGTTGTTTGATCTTTGCAACTGATTTTCCTGGTTGTGTGCCCTCAAATGTCTGCCTTTCCATGTGGCAGACTGCTGAGAGCATCAGACTGAGTCTCCCACTGGGTGCTTAGAGTATCAGGCTCAGTCTCACCCTAGTGCTGAGAGCATCAGTTGAGTCTCCCACTGGGTGCTGAAGTGTCCGGCTCAGCCTCCCTGGGTGCTGAGAGCATCAGGCTCAGTCTCCCCCCCCCCCCCCCCAAGAGCGTCAGGCTCAGTCTCCCACAGGGTGCTGAGAGCATCAGGCTCAGTCTCCCCCTGGGTGCTGAGAACCTTAGTCTGTGGTTTTGAGCTTGTATTTTTTCTAAGATTATGTTTATTGATTTTGATTTGGGGGCCACTCCCGGCTGTGCTCCTGGCTCTGTGCTCAGTAATCACTCTCTCCTGGGAATGAACCATGATCAGCTGTGTACAAGGCCTTATCCCCTGTACTACCTCTGCCTCTTTGCTTCCTTTTACATTCTTTTTATGCTCTAGTTTTCTTCTAAAACTTTCAGTGAACTTGAATCTTCTGTACTAGTTGTTACTTTCTTTCAAACTCCCTTCTTCTTTTAGTTTTTTGAGCCACACCTGGTGATAGAGGCTACTCCTGGCTCTATGCTCAGGAATTATTCTTGGTGGTGCTCCTGGGGACCATATGGGATGCCAGAGATCAAACCCTGGTCGACCATGTACATGGCAAACACCCCACCCCCTGTACTATCACTCAGGCACCACCCACCTCTTTTTCTTTAAATATCTTTGTTCTTCCTTGATACTTTTATTTTTTACCTTTACCCTCTGAGATGTATTTTTGCTTGTTTCCAATTTTCAGCTTTCTTTTATTCTAATTTTTTGTTGAGTGTGTGTGTGTGTGTGTGTGTGTGTGTGTGTGTGTGTGTGTGTGTGTGTTTTGGTGAAGGCGCCCATGGATCACTCCCATCTCTGCGCTGCTCCATGCTGGTGGTTCTCAAAGACCATGCAATATCTGATTGCCAATCAGATCTCCTGCAGGAAAGCATGGACTCAGTGCGCTGAGTCTCTTCCTGGACACTGTTTGCATATTCAGTCTCTTACAGTGACATGCTCTCTGACCATCTCATTTCTGAGCTTCCTTAATTCTAACCCATGCTATTTTTTATAACTTACATTTTAAAATTTTCTTTTAAATCATTTCTTTACATCTGTTTAGTGCAGTGCTTTTATTTTATTTTATTTTATTTTTATTTTATTAGTTGAAACACCATGAGGTACAGGTATAGACTTACAAACTTTTGTGCTTTGGTTTCAGTTATACAAGATCGAGTACCCATCCCTATGCCAGCCCATTTTCCACCACTAATGACCCCAGTAGCCCTCCCACCCCCAACCCCATTCCCTCCACCTCTGTGGCAGGGCATTCCCTTTTGCTCTCTTTCTGTTAGGGTGTTGTGGTTTGCAATAGAGGTATTGAGTGGCCAGTGTTCGGTCTATAGTGTACTTTCAGCACGCATCTTGCACCCCGAGTGAATCCTCCAGACATCCTTTATTTGGTATTCCCTTCTCTATCAGAGCTTTCCCCCTCCCCCCCCCCCCCCCCAAGCATGTACTGACAGCTTCCAAGCCACGGAGCATATCTCCTGGTACTTAATCTCAACTATTCTTGGGTGTTCTTCTCCCATTCTGTTACTTTATATTCCCCAGATGAGTGCAGTCTTTCTATGTCTATCTGTCTGTCTGTCTGTCTGTCTGTCTCTCTCTCTCTCTCTCTC